TTGTTTGCTATCACATGATCTATGCATATTATTGATTGTTTCATTTTATATTATACATATAGTTTGTATTGAAGTTTCTGGCTTGTTCTCTCTTTTCTTTCTATCCTTTTTCTCTGTTGCATTAGATCCACGTCTTTAAGTCAACACATACACACACCATTTGGTACCACATTCCAATGTCATCAACATGAATTTACAATCCGGCTTGTTAGTCTTAGAGATAACTAACCAATAGGACTTGGTTGTGTCCAGTCCTCCTTTTGAGGGGTGTGCCCAGATTAGGAGACAAAGACCCATCACCCCCAGATCTCAGGGCTCTTTGCCCACTGAGACCCTGAGAAAGGTTTCCTCTGTGAAGAGCCCAGCGCTGAAATACTTTACCTGTGACCCAAATGTCATTTTTTACTCTTGATCTACTCTGGGCGGCACGGTGGTGTGGTGGTTAGCACTGTCGCCTCCCAGCAAGAGGGTTCTGGGTTTGAATCCCGGGGGAACCAGGACCTTTCTGGGTGGAGTCTGCATGTTCTCCATGTGTCTGCGTGGGTTCTCTCCACAGTCCAAAAACCTGCATGTTAGGCTGATTGGAGATTGGGGAAATTGCCCTTAGGAGTGAATGTGAATGTGAGTGTGTGTGGTTGTTGGTCCTTGTGTGTCTCTGTGTTGCCCTGTTTTGGACTGGGGACTGTCCAGGGTGTACCCTGCCTCTCGCCCGTTGACCACTGGGATAGGCTCCAGTTCCCCCCGCGACCCCATCAGGGAATAAGCGGTATTGATAATGGATGGATGGATCTACTCTGGTTTATTCTCAGGTTTCCAACTAAAGAATCGGGCTAACAGTTTCAAAAAGGTTGGTGACCCCTGTGCTATACAGATAAACTTTCCTTTCCTCGCCTTTCCTCCAGGCCGGGTGGTGAACGTGTCCAGCTTCGTGGGCAGCCAGACTTTAGGGCAGAGTTGGATATGTACTTGATTAACGGTAGCACGTTATTATTAGCCATTAGTCGAAGCTAGCAGTTCAAGGCTAACGTCTTGTTAATGACCATAAACAACGTAAAAAAATACAGAAATAAATCTGAGAGAAAAGGGGGGGTATGGATACTTTTGAAAATGAGTATCGTATCCGGATACAACATTTTGGTATCGATAAAAAAAAATTCCTGATGAAAGAAGAGAGTGTACTCTTTCTTTAGGTGTGTTCGGTGTTTACATAGTCATAGCACAAACTATTCTGTGGCTCTTGAAAAATCAGTCAAAATGCTCAAAAAAACTCTGGCAGTATGGGACTCTCTGTTCTGAAAATGGCTGCCAGTCAATGAGTTAAATTCTCTGTGAAGCACTTTTGAAATGTGCTATACAGATAAACCTCACCTTTCCTCCAGGCCGGGTGGTGAACGTGTCCAGGTTCGTGGGCAGCCAGACTTTAGGGCAGAGTTGGATATGTACTTGATTAACGGTAGCACGTTATTATTAGCCATTAGTCGAAGTTAGCAGTTCAAGGCTAACGTCTTGTTAATGACCATAAACAACGTAAAAAAATACATAAATAAATCTGAGAGAAAGGGGGGGGTATGGATACTTTTGAAACTGAGTATCGTAACCGGATACAACATTTTGGTATCGATAAATTTTTTTTCCTGATGAAAGAAGAGAGTCTACTCTTTCTTTTGGTGTGTTCGGTGTTTACATAGTCATAGCACAAACTATTCTGTGGCTCTTGAAAAATCAGTCAAAATGCTCAAAAAAACTCTGGCAGTATGGGACTCTCTGTTCTGAAAATGGCTGCCAGTCAATGAGTTAAATTCTCTGTGAAGCACTTTTGAAATGTGCTATACAGATAAACATTTCCTCGCCTTTCCTCCAGGCCGGGTGGTGAACGTGTCCAGCTTCGTGGGCGTGCGCACGCTGAACGGCTGCAGCCCGGAGCTGCAGCAGCGTTTCCGCAGCCCGGAGCTCAGCGAGGAGCAGCTGCTGGCGCTGATGCAGAGCTTTGTGGAGCAGGCCCAGCGGGGCGAGCACCTGCAGAACGGCTGGCCCCAGACGGCCTACGGAGTCTCCAAGACCGGCCTCACGGTAGGGGGGTCGCCGTGGTAACGTGTTCAACTCCATACCGATACTCAGGAAAATGTTTGATACCACAAGGATAAAAACAAAGACCCCAAAATTGAACTGAATTTTGACAGGTTAGTGTCTTTGGTTTCAAACTGACCTGTTACTGATGTTAACTAACCCTAACCCTAATCATAATCCTAACTCTAATCCTAACCCTAAACTTAAACCTAACCCTACGGCGTGTCCAAGACCGGCCTCACGGTGAGACCGATCCGCGGAAAACTGCCCGAAAAAAGGTCAAATCAAACTGGACGATTTCATATGTTTATGTTCAACTCGATACCGATACTCAGGAAAATATTAGATACCACAAGGATAAAAACAAAGACCCCAAAATGTTAGAGTCTTCGGTTTCAAACTGACCTGTTACTGATGTTAACTAACCCTAATCCTAATCCTAACCTTAACTTTAACCCTAACCCTAACCCAAGACCGGCCTCACGGTGAGACCGATCCGCGGAAAACTGCCTCAAAGAGGTAAAATCAAATTCAGAATCAGAATCGGAATCAGAAATACTTCAATAATCCCAGAGGGAAATTATTTTTGTTACAGGCTCCATAAGCAAAACAAAGGCATATACATTAGGGATGCAAACGGTTAATCGACTTTAGATTAATTGTCGATCAAGAGGTTGCTCGATCAAAATGTATTAATCACGATTAACCGCTAGAGGGTGCTAGCGCTTTACTGTAACTTGAACACAGCGTGAGAACGAGAACACGCCTCGTGTCGCGAGAGAGACCAGGGTTGAAAACAAAATGAAGCGGGCGAAAAGAAGTGCGGTGTGTGACCACTTCAATATTGTTAATTCAGGCAAAGAAGGTTGTCATAGCGACTGTCCGCGACCACAAAAACAAGAACGTTGGGGCGTTAGCCAGCTAGCTCGCTAGCATAGCCACCTATCCGTTAGCATTAGCATCAGCCGGAGAGATGATAGCGCTCATCAACAAACTGCAGTTTGTTGATGAGCGCTATCATGCAAGAACTGAGCCAGGGTTTTCTTTTAATTAAAGATTTTGTTTTACCTTAAAAACGTG